CCCCAGAACTGGGGATTGAACTCAGTCCTTTACACTTGCTAGGGAAGCGCTTATTCTACTGAGCCATCTCCCCAGCTCCATAGATTTTAGATATAATTTTATTCATAGGAAAAAACCAATATTTTAAATCAAATTCTCAAGTATTTCTGTAGAGTTCTTAGTATTTTCTAAGATTTTTTGATGTTTTGAGGTCTTCCTTTGTCCCAGATCTCAAAAATACATATAAAATGAAAAAATGTTGCTATAAGGAATAACCGAATCATCTCCATGACTGGTATATCTTAATGTTGTTTCTGTAAGTTTGAGATCAATTCCAGATTAAAAGTAGAGTACTCATAGGATGTTTGGGTATAGTTTTAAAGTGGACATCATTAGAATTTTATGCATGGATTAGTTTCTTGTCTACTACAAACACGTTCAGGGTAGAGCCACAGTTTGGCTGGCTCTGACCCACAAGTGGTACGTATGTGCCTGCCCTCTGCTGCCGACGGGACAGCTGCACATATACCACTGGTGGTTCAAGTCGGTGGGCATGTGTTCATTCTTTTATTTGGAGTTTTTACTTGGCTTCTGGTCTTTTTAGGCCCTTACATAGGATGAAGAGATTTAATCAAAAGCTACTGGAAAGAGAGGCTGACAGATCTTAGGCCACATTTACATGAATTAAGTAAAAGCCCACGGCATTCTCTCGAAGACTGCTTTGAGATTCAAGAATACAAGCAGTGGTTATTGTACATTATAGCATATGTTACAGGCAGCTCAAGGCTTCGATGAGTGTCTTTCCAGGCAGGAATGTAACCCTTCTGGAGGCCAGAAGGTAGATTAAATGGCCCTGCCTCTTTTCAGGTTTAAGAATCAGCCTTCTTGTAAATGAATAATGAGGTTTGCCTAAGCAGTAAGATTGTCTTCTATTTGTAACTGCTGGTGTTCACTGCTTTCTCCTTTCCTTTGCAGTCACATAAATAAAAGAACCACCTACTTGGACCCAAGACTGGCCTTCACTGTGGATGACAATCCGACCAAGCCAACCACCAGGCAGAGATATGACAGCAGCTCCACGGCCATGGACATCCTTCAGGGTCGGGACTTCACAGGCAAAGTGGTCGTGGTCACTGGGGCCAATTCAGGAATAGGTAGGCTGCGAGCTTACTGCTATTCTATTTAATTTCTTTCACCAATATAGTAACGTTCCCTTAAATGTAATTATAATGAAGCTCTTTTTATAGTGGTTCTCTAATTTAAAAATGGGTTTTCAGGTATTGTTTTATTAAAATTATGGCGTCTCTTTAAAGCAGTGTCATGGCAGATGATGTAGAGGGCGACCTTGACATCTCTGAGAACTGAAACCTCAGTGGAAGCCTGGCTATTTTGGTATTCAGGCCTTATACAACAGGCTCTGGCTAAGTGTTGACTTGGTCTGTGTGGTACATGGATATATTCCCATTACCTGGGCTGTTCAAACCAGAGTGCATTGGTAATGGGATATGGGGAACAACAGCCTATCCTGACTTTGGGAGCAAGGGTACTGCAAGTTTGCACTGGTCACTGAGCATATCATTTTGCACTGGGAACAGGATCTTATTTCTTCCTAAAACTGAAGGTTTTTGTCCTTATCTTAACCTCTGAATTAACCCTCCTAACACCAGTGCCTGCCCACAGTGATCATCATGAGGTAGACGGCTCAGGACGGCCTCCTCCCGCAGTGTCTTGTGCTGCTGAGAGACGTAAGCCAACCAGGTGCTAGTCCCATCCATCTCTTTGATAGGCTCTGACTTGTTTTGGTCCCTTTACATCAATATAAGAATCAGTAAAAACCAACTGCTTTGAGACCCCATGTGCATCTTCAGATTTGTTTACTGCTTTACAAAGTGGCATTGCAGCTGTCAGCCTCTGTCTCATCCCCACAAGACCCCCTCATTGGCTTCTCATCAGTTTTTCCTACCTTCTTTTCTACTTTTTTTTTTTTTTTTTGGTGGAACCAGGGATTGAACTCAGGCCCTTGTACTTGCCAGGCAAGTGCTTATTCTACTGAGCCATCTCCCTGGCCCCCTACCTTCTTTTCTTGTCTTTACCAATTTTGAACTATTCTTGTTGAGTCTTCACCAACATCCGCAGGTATCTTTAGGGCAAGCACAGGGTTGGAAGTCCATCCTGCACAGATCATTTATTGTGAGTACAAGCTCTGCAAGCTCCCACATGACAGTTCTAGAGCAGACCTTCATCACGCTTGTCTGTGCAGGTAGAGAGCAACTAGAATTAATCCACCCTTCCCTCCCTCCCTCCCTCCCTTCCAGAGGGGATTCACTTCACATCAACTCTTAGGACCTCATCCTGGGTGCACACTCTGTCCACTTGAGTTTTCTCAATTTCTGTGTCTAGGTAAATTCCATATAAATCATCACTGCTGTAAAAACCGATGACTTGATGGCAGAATTAGTGACTGAATTTTCATTGATCCAAGAGGCAATATATTGTATTGATTGTGTTGACTCTTATGGTTGAGGATGTGGACCAGTAATCTAGGAAACTTTAAAATAAATAGGGATTTAAGGACTTCAGAGAAATATCTTTGCTTTTAAATACTCGGTTAACCAGAAAATTAAGACAGTATTATACGCTTTGTCTTTTAGCTCATTTTCTTTAGTCGGAAGACTATGTGGTGATTGGTGGTTTCCTGCATAAGTGTTCAAGCTCTTCCATTGGATCTTAGCAGGCTTTTGAATTTGATCAGCATACTTGCAAAGCTTTGCCATGTGAGGCATTGGACATTGTAATCTGGGACTCATAAAATCACTTTAAAAATATGGAAAAATATGGGGATATTTCCTCATGATCGAGGTGAGATTCTGCAGCAGGGAGGAGGAACAGGTTGTGGATCAAAATGGTCCTCCCACCTGTGGAACAGAGCAGACTCAACCTCATTACAGCCCTTGCTTCCCTATGAGAATTTCTTCCTTCCTGTGTCCCTACTTTATTTGGTCCAGGTGCTGGTGCCATGGAGAGGACCCCTCTTTGCCAGTCAGGTGCCCCAGCCCTTTGCCCAGCTCCCTGCATCCTCAGAAATTCTACCCCACCCCCCTACCCTAAGAAATGTGAATCTAGTTGGATGTAGATTTTTATTCTCAATTTTTGAAGTAATATGCTGTGAAATACAATCAAATACCTACAAATCACTTTTCCTCTGCCACAGTGGTATCAGCCCTGAAGACAGAAGAGGCTGAGGATAGGTAGGCACGTAGTTTTCATCCTAATCGAGCTGGCTTTTGTGTTTTGCCTGGCTGCCTCAGAAGGTGCCCTTGCCCAAGTAGGCTGTACCTTCTAGATGAAGTCCTTCCTCTATCCGAGCTGTTCAATGTGCCAGCTTATAAGTTGTAATCACTACCTTATTTCTGCCTGTTTCAAATGAAACAGCTGAATTCAGGGTAGATTGGACATCTTTCTTTCTCAGACTTCTGGTGCACTTAGGAGTCACCTGTCAAAACTTCAGTGGCATTTTCAGCCATCTTTTCCTTTGCCCACACAAAGGAGCCTGTTCTGGGTATCTGTGGTAGGATGTGTTGCCTCTGGACTCCTATTCTTTTTGGTTAGAGTGCACTAAAGTGGAACATAACTGTCCAGGTTGTGAGTAGTGACTTCATATCTAAAAACATAGTTGATGTGTATAAGAAGGGCTGCTTTGCAAATCTGATAGTCCCAGTATGTCCTTTAAAAAAAATTGTCTGTGAAGGTGCTGCTCTGTGGGAGTACTGGAATTGTTATTCATTGGTGAGGTCTCTGAGTATGTGGGAATACCTCTCCCTTGATAGATTTCAAGGTTGTAATGGGGCCCTGCCCACATGGACTTGGTTTCTTAGCAGATTTTCTCATGTCATCATCTTCCTCCCATGGTAATGAGTGATGCACGAAACATTATTATTATTATTATTTATTTATTTCCGTTTTTGAGAGAGGGTTTCATTGTGTAGTCCACACTGGCCTTTGATTCAGTTATATAGCCCAGGCTGGTCTTGAACTCCCAGCCGTGCCCCTGCGTTGGCCTCCCAAGTGCTGGGATTATAGTAGTGCACCACCACACCCAGCTGTGTCTTGAATTTTTATGTTTGATGTTACCAAGTCCATTGGAGAGAGTCTTAACTCTATTTGACTGAAAAATCAAGATGATTATGGAAGATAGAAGGGTTTGGGGAAGATGGCAGGAGCACTACAGGATCCTGAAGTCCCTGTTTTTATGGTTAAGGTTTGTATCTGGATTATACCTTTATTGTCTGGATTTTCTTGTCTAGCTTGGTGCCTGATTTGGTAAGTAAAGTTTTATTGGAAAATAGTCGCATGCCTTTACTTTATCACCAGTGGGTTCGAATGACAGCAGGGATCATAGGGCCCACAGAACCTAAAATACTGCTGGGTGACCCTTTATAGGAAAAGCCTGCTGACTCCTACATTAGAGGGTATGGTAAAATCACCCCTGCACTCTCTAAATTGTCCACACTTTTATTTATTTTTTTGGCAGAACCAGGGATTGAACTCAGGTCCTTGTGCTTGCCAAGGAAGCGCTTATTCTACTGAGCCATCTTCCCAGCCCCTGTCCACACTTTAGATGAGGTTTGCATACTTTTTTTTGTTAATTTTAATAATTTTATTGAGAAAGAAGTAGCAATGAGATAGTTTCAAAACAGGTTAGTAGTACAGTTACAATAATTAATACATTGTATACTATTGTCTTTGTAGTAGTTGTTCCTAGTACAAGATGCAGACATGATAGCTTGTCTAAACACTATTAGTTCAAAATCTTCTTCTCGGGCCAGGGAGATGGCTCAGTGGATTAAGCGCTTCCCTGGTAAGCGCAAGGGCCTGAGTTCAATCTCTGGTTCCGCAAAAAAAAAAACCAAAAACCAAAAAAACAAAAGCCAACCAACCAAACAAAAAACAGCGAAAACCCTTTCATTGAAGAGAAAGTAGCTGTATATGCTATTTTGTATATACAGATATTTATATATATATTTTTTCCAGTACAAAATGGTCCATTTATATCCCTTTTTTTGTTTACTTTTGTCAAGAGTTGTATATTCCATGCCATTCATATATTGTAGGTGTATGAATTCAGCAGAGTAATCCAGTATAGTCCAGTAGTCTATAATAGTAGTGGATTTTCCATAGGACTGGCATTGTCAGAAGTTGTTGACTTGAGCCTTTAACAGCTCAGCATATTAATATGGTTTTACTTTTTATACCTTGTGTTTATACTTTTCTGCTGGATGGTTAAGACCAGGATAAAGGAAGACCTATATAACAAAAAATGTAACTTTGTATCTGACAGGGTCAGTCAGATCCCCTCAGGACTTACCTTAATCCTGTACAGCAGTTTGCAGATCCTTTGTCAGTGTCAGCCGTGTGGATGAGTCATGGCCATTGCTTGAATGAATGAATGAATGAATGAATGAATGAATGAATTAATTTATGGCAGAACTGGGATTGAACTCAGGCCCTTGCACTTGCCAGGCAAGCGCTTATTCTACTGAGCTATCTCCCTGGCTCCAAGGTTTGCATACTTTGATTGCCCCAGGACTCAGGGAGACTGTGGCAATATATTGTACATGGCTATGGGGGTGGCCTGCCAACAGTCCACATCCCTGGCCACAACCTTTCCTAGTTTAGGGAGTTGCAAGGATTAGAATGTTTTCACTTTGGAAACTAACACTCTTCTCTCCTTGACCTTTGTTTGACCAGCTTTCTGAACCCGAAGAACTTTGTAGATTGAAAGCTGTAGCTTGTGGACCTCTCTCAGTGAAGCTCAGCATCTCAGTATCCAGGGGGAAGCCATCTCTTCACCCAAAGATTCTGCTAGCCATCAAGAGGCCCGGAGCTCCCGCCCTGACCTCTTCCCCGTAGCCGAGGGAGGAGTTGTGCTGTTGGGCGGCAGCATAGACTGAGCAGGAGGGGCAGGCGTTCATGGCTCTGGAGTTAGCAGCACGGTGGTTCTGATTTCATAAAATTGAACAGAAATGGCTTCAACATTTGATCACTACATATAAATATTGGGAAGTCTCACAGTGGAGTATTTTAGGCTAGTAAGTTTCCCACCGAAGACTGGCCCATGGCTTGTTTTCTAAATGTACACTGTCATCTGAGCTCA